CTTTTGGGCCCCCCTCCCCCCCCCCCTTTGGGCTTGGGGCTGCGGGGCTGTGATGACGCGTCGCGCATGTCCCCCTCCCAGGGGGAGCAACTGCCCGTCAGCACGGGGTGGGCGGGGTCGCGCCCGGACAAAGGAGGGCCTCGCCGGCGGGGGCGGGGGGGGTGGAGCAAGCAGGGGACGGCGTGCTTCAGCCCTCTCCCCGGGTGACTGAATAGGAGGACCTCGCGCGCGAGATTGGGGAGGCGAGGCTGCACAGGTCCGAGCAAGACACGGCGGCGCGGGCGACGGCGGTCGCGCAGCAGTACGCCGCGTCGGCCGCGGCCTTTGAGGCGGCCGAGGCGGCAGCGGCGGCCACCGCCGCGGCGGCGGATCGCGCGGCGGCGGCGCGGAGGGACGCGGAGGCGGCGGCGAACGCCGCTGCGGCGAGCGCGGCGGCGGCGCAGCAGGAGGAGGCTGCGGCGCGGCGCAGCGCGCAGGCTGACGTGCTGGCCTGCGACTCCTCGCCAGACGACCGCCGTTCCCTTGCCACGCGAGGCGCGGCCCACGCCCTCCCCCCGTCGTGAACAGGCGGCGTCGCTGGCCGAGGCGCTGATTCGCGACGCCGTCGATGATTCGGCAGCGGTGATCCGCGCGCGCGCGCAGGCGCAGGCGCAGGCGCAGGCGCAGGCGCAGGCGCAGGCGCAGGCCGCGGCGGAGCTTGCGCCGGCGCAGAGTGCGGCGGTCGGCGCTTCGACGGCCGGTAGCGAGGGGGCTGTGACGGAGGTGTGCGCGCGGGTCTCGTTAGGGGGGAGGGGGGGGGGGGGATCCCCTGCTCAAGCCCTCCGCCGCAACCAGGCCCTGCTCGACGACTTGATCCAGGAGGCGCTGCTGAGTGAGGGCCCGCTGCAACGCGGCGCAAAGGCCGCGACCCTTCCGTCGCCGCCCCCCGCCGCGTAAGCGCCCGCAACGCAAGCGCCCGCCGCGCCGGCCGTGCCTTCCCCCGTCGAAAAGCCCCCCGGGGCCGCC